AGACTCTTTGGTGGGTTCCATTCATTCATTTATCCATTTCCCAGCTAATCACCCATCCTGTGTTTTTCTTTTTTTTTTTTAAATATTTTATTTATTTATTCATGAGAGACACAGAGAGAGAGGCAGAGACACAGGCAGAGGGAGAAGCAGGCTCCATGCAGGGAGCCCAACGTGGGACTTGATCCCGGGTCTCCAGGATCAGGCCCTGGGCTGAAGGCAGATGCTCAACTGCTGAGCCACCCCTGCTGCCCCATCCAGTGTTTTTCAAGCATCAAAGTTAGGCCGCTGCTGCGCTGGTTGATGCAACGGTGACTAAGATAGAGATGACCCTTGGCCTGACAGTGGGCCGTGACCTAGACCTGGAAGCTGAAGAGAAGTTGCAGAAAGAGGAGGCAGCCTGTGGGAAGGGCGAGAGAGACGCGGCCGGCAGAGGAGCGGGCAGCTCAGTGAGGCAGGGCGTGCTGAGGGGCACAGTTGAGAGGGAGCCGACATGTGGGTCGCGTTAGGGGGTCTGAGCTTTCTTCCGGGAGCCACAAGGAACCAGTGAAGAGTTTTAGGCAAGGCAATGACGCAGTCAGATGTGTGCCTTAGCTGGTTCCTCTGGAAGCAAAGCCTGAGGCAGGGATTCGCGGGCAGGTAGTCTATGTGGGGAGTGGTTCCAGAAACTACCAGTAGGGGAAGGAGGGATTGAGACCAGGGGGCAGGCCAGCCAAGAGAGCACATGTGGGCAAGCAAGTCACCACTGTGGGCACGGGAGCTTCCCCTGTGGTGGGCCCTGGGAGTCAGGGTCGACTGTGTCCCTCAGAGTTATTCCCCCCCACGACGGGGAGGGGGCTGGAGTTTTCTGTACCACCCACCTCCCATCAGCCATTGGGTGAAGGCTGTTCTGGGCCGGTGGCAGGGGGCACTTCTGGCTTCCCCGTGGGGCAGGTAGAGGGGGCCTCACTCAGGGCCTCAGGCAGGGGGTGGGGGCCGGCTGGGAGTGGGCCGAGGGAAGGTGGTCTGCGTGCCAGCACCACAGTGACCACGGGCTGCAGGGACCCTGAGAGGCAGACAGGAGCCAGGGATCCGTGAAGAAGCCACAGGAAGGCATGTCCGGGAGATGTCGCTGTCCGGGTGAGGCTGTGGTTATAAGCAGAAGGGGACGGATGGCAGGATGTGGGTGACGGACGTGGGGCAATCAGGCACATGGTGGAGAGGATGCACAGCCTCCCGAAGCTGCAAGGGCCCCGGCACCTCCCCAGGGCTCTCCCTACCCCCACGCTGCTGGCTCTCCAGCGGGTCCTCCTCTGCGTCAGTGGGGCCCGTGCCCCAGAGGTCACTCAGTGTGTTGGAAGGGAGATGAAGGGTCTGGGAAGGAGCTGCTTCAGCAAAGCCCCCAAACTGGGCTGTGCTCAGTGCCAGCTCCAGGTCTCAGGAGAGGGAGATCCCTTGGACCTAGGGGAAGGGATGAGAGAAGAGCAACGCAGCCGAGATCCCCCAGCTCCCCGGCCTGAATGCCACCCTGGTCCCAGTCCGTGGGCACATCTGTCTCCCTGTCTGTCAGGCCACAAGAGGGCGGGTGCTCTGCATGGCGCATCTGTGGGATGTGGCTGACAGGAGGTGCTCCGTAACCACCTGCTGAACCGTGGGATCTGCGAGGGGTCCCAGCTGTTCCGTGCTCCATGCGCTTGGGCGGGGGGAGGCAGGTGCTGGGGACAACTGAGCCATGAGGGAGAAGATGGGGTGGTGTCATCAGCCAGGGTTTTGCCAGAAACAGAAGCCAAGCCTGGATTTATTTATTTTTATTTATTTATTTATTTTAAAGATTTATTTATTTATTCATGAGAGATACAGATTGAGAGGAGAGGCAGAGGCAGAGACACAGGCAGAGGGAGAAACAGGCTCCTCGCAGGGAGCCCGATGCAGGACACGAACCTGGATCCGGGGATCACGACCTGAGCCAAAGGCAGGCACCCAACCGCTGAGCCACCCAGGCGTCCCTCAAGCCTGGATTTAAAATAAGCAGAAAAAGGATTTAGCTCCAACCAACGACCGATGGGAGGCGGTGTGCTGACACCCAGCTCCCTCCACGCCGAGCTGGGATAACTCGGGGTACGTGTTCCTCGTTGGCTCTGGTGGCCCACAGTGGCGACCTGCTGAATGGCCGGCCACCACCCCTTCCCTGGCTCACTCCTCCTCTCCCCTGCCGGGCTTCGTGGAGTTGCCTGTGACATACATCACCTGTCCTCAAATCTTGGGCTCCCCTCTGCTTCTGAAGGGACCCCCACACCTGGGGCAGGTGCCTCCTATGGGCCAACCCTGTCGCGTGTCCTTTCCTGGTTGCAGGGGACGATGGGGAAGCAAGAGTCAGGCATTTTCAGCTGCTGAGTGTGGGTGGGGTGGCTCTGCTTTCCACGGGACTCACAGGTGGTGTGTCACCGGGGCCCCTGTGGCTCTGCTTCTTTGACAAAATATCACAGACGGGGGTCTTACAAATAGGAGAAATACATTCCCCTGACTTCCGGAGGCAGGAAGCCCCAGGTCAAGGTGTCGGTGGACTCAGTGGGCCTGTTTGCTGTTTGAAGAGCACTTTCTTCCGTGGGTCCTCATACGGATGTCTCTGAGGCCTCTTTTACCTCGGCAGCCCTCCAATGGCACCCCGTCCTGATACACCCGCCTTGGGCCTGGTGATGTCAGCATATGGATTTTGAGGGTACGCGAACACTCAGACCATAGCGGAAGCCAACGAGGCATTCGAATTATAATCATTTCAGGGAGGTCTGTTTGCACGATTGCATTAGAAATCACTAACCATGAGCAGCCCCGGTGGCCCAGTGGTTTAGCGCCGCCTTCGGCCCAGGGTGTGATCCTGGAGACCCAGGATTGAGTCTCCGTGTTGGGCTCCCTGCATGGAGCCTGCTTCTCCCTCTGCCTGTGTCCCTGCCTCTCTCCGTGTGTGTGTGTCTCTCATGAATAAATAAGTAAAATCTTTAAAACAAAACAAAACAAATAAAACAAGGAGCCTGGGGCTCACAGTCTCCCAAGCGTGGGCAGAAATGGTGCTGTCATACTAGGTCTCCATCAGGGCGGGGGCGAGCTGCCCTCCATGGCCTCGGCCGTTCCTCCTCCTGGGCCATCCCACACCCCTTTGGCCGAGGGCCCTTTTCTCTCGAGCCCGTTGGGCTCTTGGTGGTGCTGTCGGGTGGCATCGCCGGGACCCAAAGACCTGGCTCTGCTGGTAACTTCTGCAGCCACGGGTATGTCCTGGGCCTCAGCTTTCCTATGTGTCAAACCAGGAGGGGCAATGAGATGACCCCGTGTGTAGCACTGACCTTCTAGAAAGGCTCACGGCCCCCCTTCCAAACAGTCCTGAGAAGGGAGAAAAATCAAGAGTAGCCTTTGGGGAAACCAAGGCTCCGGGCACAGAGTGATGGCTGGAGGTCACTGGTCCTGTGGGCACATAAACAAAGCGCCCCTCTTTGGTCAGAGCGGGCCCCCCAGCCAGGCCTGCCCTGCCCCTGCTTTCCCAGAGGGGTGCGGCCCACACCCATGTTTATTTTTGATTGGTGCAGCGGCCCGCATGACATTCCAATGTTTTTCCTGTGTTCCTGGGTATGTGCGTGGCTGTGAAGGGAAAGGTGTAAGAACATGGGCTGCAACCAGGCTTTTAGAGCCAACCAGTCCCTCCCGCCCCACTTGGGGATCCGGGCTCTGTAATGTGACTGCTGGGCGTTGGAGGGTCAGGTCCACGTGGACCTCAAAAGGCTGACTTGACTTTGCAGGGAGTTTCAAAGAGAGTCAGGAAGCCACGCCAGCAACTCGGAGCCCCTCTGAAGGCAGCCAAATCTGCCAGTTCCAGGAGGCTGCCCAAATCTCGCCACCCACCCCCTGTGGGCCTGTGTTCTAAGGCCTGTGTCCCAAGCCCTTGAAACAAAGACCATTTCATTTGATTTCAGAACCCGAGGCCCCAGGGCTTACTTCATGTCAAGGCCAGGAGGCCTCAGATGCCACCTTGTTGGAGCCACCGCCTTCCCCCTTGCACCACCTTGTTGGAGCCACCGCCTCGCCCCTCACACTGTGGGACAGGGGAGAGCTCTTCAGCCCATCGGACGGGTTCTGTTGAAATTACAGGTCTCAAGCCGATGGCTCTGGGTGGACCGTGGCCTGCACACACATTCTCTTTGGCTTTTACCGCACCCACGTGGGTTTATTTTTGCAAAGTGCACTGCATTGCCAACAATTAGAGACGTTGATCTGGGGTTTGTGGCTACTTGCAGAAGTTAGAAGACCTGCCAGCCCCCGACTCAACGTTCCTGCCTGGGAATGCTCGGTGGGTGCAGAGCTGCAGCCCCCACTGCCCCCCTCCCGCCCCCGACACGCACAGATGAATCACGTGCCCGTCAACTCACCGTAGTCCTCACCACCGCTCCCTGTGGCCACCCAGGTGGGAGCTGAACGTCTGTTGCCTTTGGTCATCGAATTTGTGCTGCTGTTTCTTGAATCAAGACTTACGAGGGAAGTAAAATATTTTGGGTCCCCGCATTTCCAATAAAAGGGGGAAAGCCAGTTTGTTTATTACCCAGCCTGCCCCGGGGTGAGCCATCTGTCCCACTGTGCAGGGTTGCTGATGGAGAAGTTGGTCTCCAGGGCCGTCTTTGGTCCCCATCCTCTCCTCTGCCTCAACCACGCCATGACCGTCACCGTCACGTCGCGTTTATTAGTCCTCCTTCAGGCAGTGCACGCACCAGGCAGGTTCAGACAGTTCTCGTTTTGGCTCAGGGGCAAAGCTGGGGGGTGGGGGTGGTGCAAAGAAGACAGGGAAGGCAGAGCCATCCGGGCAGGCAGGGTTAGACTCCAGAGGGTGAAGGATTGCCCGTACTACCAAGGGCCACAAGGGAAGGTCTTTTTTTTTTTTTTAAGTATTTTATTTATTTATTTATTCATGAGACACACACACACACACACACACACAGAGAGAGAGAGAGAGAGAGAGAGAGAGAGAGAGAGAGAGGCAAAGACACAGACAGGAGAAGCAGGCTCCATGCAGGGAGCCCCATGTGGGACTGGATCCGGGACTCCAGGATCACGCCTGGGGCTGAAGGCAGACACTAAACCACTGAGCCACCCAGGGATCCCCAAGGGAAGGTCTTCAATGACATGAGGCAGCCTAGGAAGAAGGGCCTCCTGGCCTTCTGCCCAGCTCCTGACCCTGTGTAGCAGGGGCTGGAGGTTGTGGCCTGGCCCCAGCTCGTTTTGGAGGCACAAGTGTATCAGAGAGCTAAGGCACCTTGGACCGGAAACTTGGGGCTTGCCTTTCAGGCACTTCATTGGAAAAAAAAAAAAAAGCCCTCAGTTTTCCATCTGTCTAATGGGGGTATGAAGATAGGCCCTGGCTCCTTCTGTGAGAACCCCATTCAGTCCAGGCCTAGGCACCCTAGGTCCTCTCAAGGCTCACTCTTCTCACCACACTGGCCCACTCTGGTTTCCTGGAGGCTCTCCCAGACGACCATGGGGGGCATACTCCAGGCAGGTTGCCCCCGTCAGGTGAGGCAAACACTTGGCAATGTAGGAGAATCTCAGGTGACCGTGGGACAGGTTGCACCTGACCTCATGTGAGCCAGACTGTGCTTTCTGGTCACAGGTGCCAAGGAGGTCATCGTCCCAGCCATAGTCTTGGTCCCAGACCTGAACCCTCAGGGGCCCCCCCGTGGACAGGAGCACATTCCCGAAGTCCAGCCGCGTCATCCACGTGGGGTTATTATTTTTCCACACCGTGTAGGTTCTCTGCTCCTGGCCTCCAAAGAAGACTTTCAGATAGGCATCTGTGGCCGTGAAGTAGTCGCCCCACAGGCCCATTGCCTGGAAGTTCATAACCTCTAAGTGGGCCAGGCCCCTCTGCCGGGGACAGCAGTCCTGGTTGGTGATCCCTGAGTTGTGGCACACACAGTGGCATGGGTTGTGGGGGCTCTTCTGCTGCCCCGGGGGGCAGGGCCTGCTGCAGTTCTTCCAACGGGCTCTGTCCATCACGTACTTGCTCACAGCCTGCCTCAGCGCCTCCCGCCGTGGGTCCTGGCTCTCCAGGAGCACATGCAGAGGCTCCAGGGTGTAGTCCACCAGGCCGGGTCTGTCCAGCAGTGAGGCCATCCAGGCTGAGAACTGCTCCGGCCCGGCCTGGTTCCCAAACAGCAGGTCACTCATGGAGGTATGGTGGCCACCAATTATCTCGGAAAAGCGTTCCTGGTAGGCCTGGTGGAAGGAGGTTGTCATCTTGTGCTTCTTCTTCTTTTCCTCACAGGCCTTGAATTCTGATGAAGGGTTGGCGTGGTCACTTATGCTGACCTGGGCCTCGACTGTTAGGCAGTCTGACACCTCATCGGCTGTGAGCCCTTCCAGGGCCAGCTCACACGTACGCAGGGCAGTGAGGGCCAGGATCCGGCCGCCCAGCTCCATGGACCGGATGAAGTGGGTGCCATAGTTGGAGATGAGCCTGAGGTAGTCAGCCTCTGTGGAGGTATTGAAATTGGGGGGCAGGTCGCTGAGGGCCTTCTGGAAATTGGGGTGCAGTGGCGGAGAGTGTACTAGGTGGAAACTGAAGGAGGAGAGGAACACCAGATGGTTAGCATTCCCCATCAGCCTTCCCGCAGGATTGCCCAGGGTCACGGGTAGGTGACAGAAAGAGAACTTGAACCAGGTGGCCTGGCGCCGAGCCCAAGCTCTAGCCGCTGAGCCGCCAGGGAAACCCATTCTGTCTGTCACTCCGTGGTGACCTACGTGTGCTGAATCTCTCCTTTTCCATTTCAAAATTAAGTTTTTTCTTCTCTGTTCTTTTTTAGTTATAAAGGTGATGATGCTACACTGATGGTGACCTTCCAGTCTTGGAACCTACGTCCTGAGGCCTTGGTCCGTCTGGCCTCTAGATTGAGATCCTGACGGCTCTGGCCACCCTGTCTCACTGTGGTTGAAATCAGGGTGGGTGACTTGGGTCCTCCATGGACACCGTGTGTTTCTGGGGTGTGAGACCCAGGTCCCTGAGGGTGGGGTGTAATGCTGCTGTCTGGCACTATAGCCCTAATTCCCAGCACAGAGCCTGATACGTGGCAGACATGATCGTGGGTGGATGGGTGCATGAGGCCCAGTGATGGGAAGTCTCCTGCCAGGTGACCTGCCCACAGGACAGAGGGGACTGGGCACTCCGTAGATCTGAATGGCACCGTGTTGGGGATCTCAGCACAGCCTTGCTCGCTTCTCCTCCACCTGTTCTCTGTGAGGCTTTTCCTGTTCAGGGACCCTGGGAAGGAGACCTGGGGGCACTGTCCCACCCAGTGTGTGAGAACCAGGGTTGTGTCTCCTCCTGGGGCACCGAGTCCCCACCCTGCCATTCCAGGGCTCCCAGACCGCTCCAAGTTTCCCCACACCTTTTCCCAAGCCCCTCCACCCCCCCCCTGCTATGCTCACCTGTAGAAGCGACACTCCACCACGTCAGTGCTGAAGCTGTACCTGTCCTGGTGGGTCTTCTGGGCAGCGAAGTCGGCCACCTTGGAGTGCGAGCCGGCCATGCTCACATGCACATTGATGTTGGGCTTGGGAGACACATCCAGCCCCACGCGCCAGTCGTTGTGGATGTTGCTGGCTGCTTCCTTGGCCACACCCTCGGTGGAGCTGGCCTTGGCCTTGACCACGCGGCGCTGGCAGCCAGAGCCCTGGGCACGCCAGTCGGTCAGTGCCAGGGGCAGGCGCTGGAGGGCACCCCCCCGTAGGGTGTTGCGGCAGAGGGTGCAGGTGCCGTCGGGCCGCAGGAAGCTCTCTGTGTCGACTGGGAAGGAGCCCGAGCGCTTGAGGCTGGTCACGTCCATGCCCTCCCCGGCCAGCATCGAGCCGGGCACGAACCAGCGGTTGCGCCGGCACTCGTTGCGCGTGGCCGTGTGGCAGGGGGCTGGGGTGGGCGTGGGCAGCAGCAGCAGGACGAGGCCCGGGAGGAACAGGCGGGCACCCATGGAGCTGCGGAAACAGGGGGGGTCTGGGCTCCAGAAGCTGTGGGCAGAGGAGAGGTGCGGAGGCTGAGCCATCGTGGCACATGGAGCGGAGAGGGAAGGGGAGATCTCGCAAGTCACCGAATGTCAGAGCTGCGCTGGCCTTGACAAACCTGGCCCATCCCTCCCCCGTGCAAACGGGCCCAAGGGGCGGAGTGACTTGCCCAAGGGGGTCACACAGGCAGGAGGTGCCCCTTGCTGGGATTTCATGATTTTTTTTTAAAGATTTGTTTATTTATTCATGAGAGACACAGAGAGAGAAAGAGGCAGAGACACAGGCAGAGGGAGAAGCAGGTTCCTTGCAGGGAGCCCGACGCGGGACCGGATCCTGGATCCTGAGATCACAACCTGAGCCGAAGGCAGGCGCCCAACTGCTGAGCCATCCGGGCGTCGCTGGGATTTCATTATTTAAGGCGTAATGGGGATCCAGGGAGATGGCTCTGGCCCCAGGACCACAGACGCTGCTGGTGGGGCCAGGGCTCTGCGTATAGCAGAGGGACATAACACATTTAGGGAGGCATCTGCGACCATAGAGAGGCCTGGATTCTGGAGCCCCAGAACAAGCGATGCTTTTCCCACCCCTCCTCTCTCATTCTCTGTCTCTCTCCCACCAAGCCCTTAACAGAAGTGGGAAAGAAAGAACGCATTGCCCTTATGGTCCCTACCTTCCCGCTGGGGCTCGCTCTCTGAGCCTCATGGGAGGACAGCAGCCCGTGTTCCCGCCCGGAAGCTGGACATGTGCCTATGCCCTTGCACCTGTGTGGGGAGGGCTTTACGTTCCCTCTCCAGGGCTCCTGATGCCTGCGCCTCCTCTGGCATTCTCTGCCATGCTCTGCAGAATTTTGGCACCGCCTGCGAGCTGCCTGAGGCCTACTGTTGAACAATAATTGAAATTTCTTCCTTATTTTGAGGTGGCTCTGGAGCCTCACCCAGACCTGTTTATCATCTGGAGTCTCCACACTCTACCCCTATCCAAACCGGACCCCTTGGAGGCTGGTCCTTTCTAGTACCTTCCAGGGATCACAGCTTCTCTGAGACATGGGGGGCTCTGGAAAGCAGGAGCCCTGTGTTCTAGCTGGGGCACCCTGCACCTCACCCGAAGGAATGACGGGGTGGTAGGATTCCAGGCGACACGCAGGCCCTGGGGAAGTCCAGAGGAGAAGGTCCTGGGGTCATCCCAGTTAGGGTCATCCCATTTGGGAGGCCAGCACAGTTCATGACCTTAATCACAGAGCTCTGTCTCTACCTGGTCCTCATCATACGATCTCCCAGGCAGTCTGTTTCTAGCTTTACTCGCGGCCTTTCCCTGTCCACATCTGACGATGCCCTATAACGTCTCCACTATCTCTATGAGGACACTGAGGCCCAGAGCGGGCATGAGGCCACCCAGAGAGTCAGTGACAAGGCACAGTCTCATGGGTCACAGCACTTCCTGCTCCATCAGGCTCTTCCCGACATGAAGCAGCCCCACTGCCATGCCCCTCTGTGCCCACCCAGGGGCTCCCAGCTTCCCCGACGCCTGCCTTCCTCCCTACCTGGGGTCCCGTATTGAGATGCTCTCCACAGATGCTCTCTCTCCGCAGAAGACGCTCCTGAAATGGTGTCAGCACCCCGGCAGGCTCACCACCCAGCTCATCACCCAGACCACTGTTTATATCACTTCTGCTTCCTGTCCCGCCCCTCCTGCTGTGGCCACAGGTCCCTTCTTCTCCCCCTCCCACCAGCACCCATCCTGTCCTCACCTCTTCATCCGGCCCTTCTGACAACCCTCCAGGAAGCAAGCTGTGGGGGCCAGGGTCTCATCCCACAAGCAGAACTCCCTGGGGTGTGGGGACCTGGACAGACAGGTGAGGATCCATGTGGAGTGAACACAGGGATCTGAGGACTTTGAGATTCAGTCCTGGGCTTGATGGGCAGTCCCGCAAGGGCCGTTCCCCTGCTTCTGATCTATGGCACCACACACGTGAGACATAAGAGGTGGCGCAGTGTGGGAGCTCACCACGGGGGCTTCGGAGCCCACTGCCTGGGCTTGGGCCGGCTCCGTTGGGCCCTAGCTGTGTGGCCTGGTGCACTTCTTTAGCCTCTCTGTACCTCAGTTTCCTCAGCTAAAAAGGAGGATAATAAGAGTGTAGACCCTATTGGTTGTGAAGAACGAGAGACTTACTACCTGTGAAGTGCTTGGAACAGCTCCTGGCCCTCAGCAAGTGTGAGCTCATGAGAAATCAACCTCCTGGCCCACTTCCTACCCACACCTGCATCCCAGCTCTGGACCCCAAACAACGTACCCCAGGACATGGTTTCCGGTCCCCCCTTTTGTGCGGAGAACAGGTGGCCACATCAGCCCCCAGCCCCTCCCCAGCCCTGGCCTGAGGTGGCAGCCACAGGGTGGGTGGGTGAACAAATGGGGGGAGAGATGTGGGTGGGCCCAGCGGCCAGGGTCTTCATCCTTTGTCTTACCTGAGGTCAGGGTGGGGTGAGGTTTCCATGGGTTAAGTGACTCACAGGACAACTTCTGGAGGCCCAAATCACATGGTCTGAGGTGAAGACAGCTGGGTAAGTGGGGTGCTATTCTCAAAATGTAACACTCCAACTGGTGTACGTGACTGGAACAAATAGCTACAGACCCAGACCACGTGTGATACTGTGGGGTAGCTCATCCCTTGAGTGTATGTCCTTCCTCAAGTGCCTCGCTCTTACGGGAACAGGGGCTTACCCAACCTTGTTGGAGGCCCTGTCTCCTCTTCTTGGGGACCCCTCCCTACCAGAAATTGCAGCCTCCTGACCCCTTGCTATCTGTCTGTGCCTAGTTTTGTCACATGGGCATGAACAGGAGTTGGGTTGTTTGCATGGCAGTGGGAAGACGTATATTAACATCATTGGAACTTCTTTTTTTTTTAATATTTGGTATTTCTAAGAGACTGTTACTGGGTAAGTGCCCAGGGTGAATTAATATTCCTGGACTGGCATTCAGAGAAATCTGTCATTTTTGATGAAAACAGGTTGATACCTCTCAATGTCAGATATTGAGAATGAAATGAAGTTTAAACAGGGAGGGAAAGGCCCTCAGGGTTGAATAATTTAGATATTAGTGCACAAAAGAAATTACATCTCTACGTTTAAGGAAAGGATAGGGACGTGCCATGGTTCTTTCAGAAACATAAAAAATATTTAGAAGCTAGTATCATTCAAACATACCTGTCGAATGCCCGTGTTACTGCTGCTGTCACCTTTACATAAAAATCACATGCAAATGACTAAAATAAATAAATAAATAAATAAATAAAGTTTTCTGAGACTGTGGATTTAGTTCTGTAGTAGAGACAGGTGAGGTACAGGGAACAAGTTCTAGACTCAGCTTCGCTGGCAACTTGTTGGACTCTTGCCAGTAGAGTTTGAATCCCTTGCCAGGTTAATTTGCTCAACCATAAAATCAAATGGAGGACTTTGGGCCTTCTAACAATTGTTTAATGAGAGAGACAGAGCAAGCGAGCAAGCACAAGCAGGGGAGAAGGTCAGAGGGAGAGGGAGAAGCAGACTCCCTGCTAAGCAGCGAGCCCGATGTGGGGCTCCATCCCAACATGTGGGACTTGATTCCAAGACCCTGGGATCATGAAGAAGAAACAAATCCTGTATCACTGGTCACTGCTCGTTTCACTAGACACTGGTCTACTTTCTATCTCTCTGGATGGCCCCGTGTGGGACGTTTTATATTAATGGAATCATGTAAGAGGTGACCTTCGTGTCTGGCTTATTTCATGTAACATCATATTTCAGGGTTCATCCAAGTTGTACCATGGATCAGTCTTTCATTCCTTTTCATGGCTGAATAACAGTCCCTTGGATGGAGATACCACATTTTGTTTATTCATTAATTGTGGCCGTTTGGGTGGTTTCCACTTTTAGGTTGTTATGAATAACGCTGCTGTGGACATTTGTGTATAAGTTTTTGTGTGGCCCTGGGTTTTCATTTCTTTCTTTTTTTTAAAGCTTTTATTTATTTATTTATGAGAGACACACAGAGAGAGGCAGAGACATAGGCAGAGGGAGAGGCAGGCTCCCTGCAGGGAGCTGATGTGGGACTCGATCCCAGGACCCCGGGATCACGACTTGAGCTGAAGGCAGACACTCAACCACTGAGCCACTCAGGTGCCCCTTTCATTTCTCTTGGGTATATACCTAATCGTGCAATTGCTGGGTCACATGGGAACTCTATGTTTAACCGTTTTCCTATGTGCTGCACCATTTTAGTTTCCCACCAGCAGTGTAGGAGGGTTCTAACTTCTCCACATCGTTGCTTTTATTGGACTTTTTAATGACAGCCATTCTCGGGGATGTGAAGCGGCATCTCAGGGTGGTTTTCATTTGGATTTCCCGTGTGACTAATGATGGGGACCTCCTTTTCATTTGCTCATAGTTCATCTGTGTATGTTCTTCGGAGAAATGTCTATTCGAGCCCATTGCCAGTTTTTGAATTGGGTTATCTGTCTTTTTGTAGTTGATTTATAATAGTTTTTATATATTTTGGATCCGAGACCCTTTTCCAATTTGCCAACATTTTCTCCTATTCTGAATTATCTTTTCACTCTCTTGAGGGTGTCCTTCAGAGCACAAAACTTTTTAAGATTTCATGTAGTCCAAAGTATTTGTTTGTCCTTTTGTTGCTTGTATTTTTAATATCATACGCTCATACGCGGAGAGGTCTTTGATCATGAAGATTGACTCCCATACTTTCTTCCAAGAGTCTCATAGTTATACCTCTTGCATTTAGGTCTATGATGCATCTAGAGTTTATTTTTGTGTTTGGAAAAGGGTCCAACCTCATTCTTTTGCATGTGGGTATGGTTTGATGTCTATTTTCCTAAGGTGACAAAATATTTACCCTTGAGAGAAAAGCTACACAGAATGCATGAGGAAGCTGTTGTTCCTGATTGCATCTACTACATAAACTACTACATAAACTCTAC